TAATAATAAATAAAAATAAAAAGAGAATTAAATTTAGTGAGTGCACGAGCATGTTTTCGACACCGCCGTCTTTGGAGATTTTTTTTTTTTTTTTGGAATTGCTAAATGCCCTGAAAATTTACAGATGTGTACTTCACATAATACAAAACCCACTGAAAAAGTTTCAAAAAATAATAAAATTGTTTAGACCCTGAACTAAAGTGAAAACAAAAAGTAAAAAGTGAAAAAAAACGTGGGCGAGCACGTTTTGACACCGCCATCTTTGATGATTTTTAATTCTTATTTGGCTCAGCCAAATGACTTGAAATTTATAGGCATGTGCCTCAAGTCATAGAGAACGCATAAAAAAAAATTCAGAAAACAAAACGTATTTTTAGTCCTCGAAATAATTTTTGGCGGGCGCCGAACGCCATCGGGTTCGGACCCCGTACAGGACCCCGAACGCCCGAACGTACGGAGGTCCGCCCGGGGGCCTCCGTACGTACGGGCCGGTAACCCTGTATATATATATATATATAATATATATATATATATATATATATATATAAAATCCAACATAACTGTTCGGCAAACCGTTGGCAGAAATGGACAAGAGGATTTTTTTTATTTATTTTTTTTATGGAAAACAGGGCCTTATAGTCCTGGCTCCTTCTATTCTGGGGAGCGTCAAGAAATGGAGAAGAGGATAACAAACGAGAAGTTGTGACAAACTGTCTCATTGGAGTTTCTCCGATTCATCAGGACGTTGAACCCTTTACGGTATGCAAAGTCCCCTAATTGATTATATTGTAAGTGATAATCCGAGTCTTCCTTAACTCTAGTTATGGTTAAACATTAACAACTGTCCAAGAACTGACACTTTGAGGTCGGCACCAACCACTACGATACTAGTTTGAGGATAAAAATGAAATAGTATGTGCGATAGAATTAACGATGGCCGTTGTTGGGCCCAACCCCTGAAAAATACAATACATGCTATATTCTCATTTTTCCCTACAACATGAGAGGTAATAGTGGTTTGAAGCAAGACTATATTCTCCTCTCATTTTATTTTATTTTAAAAAATTGCGTCAACCTTGAAATATTTATATTGAACCTTATCTCTCACTACCTACCTACAGGCGGACACCTTGTGAATGTAGTGTTTTACAGATCTGCTTGAATGGAGTTCGAGCTCGAGTTCAATTGTTCAAGGGTGTACCAATTGAGCTAGGGGGTGGACCCTACCGCGGAGCGCCTTGGAAATTGCCAACTCACCTGCTGGTATAAAAGGGCTATCGCATTTGGAAAGGTGACGCTTTCCGGGATTCCACGATGCCTACTAAAAAATGCGCCTTTGATGGGTACGGTTTCTTGAAACGGGAAATGGTGTCCATAGTTTTCCTATACGAAAATGTGTTCTACGTCATCTCGAAAAATGTTAGACTAGGCTATGAACCTGACCGATGTCCGCCTAAAAATTATGGGTGACATACTATGAGGACCATTTTTGCCCATGAAGCGAGGTCAAAGTATACCTAAACAATCGTTGGAATCACTCCTTCAAGTTCCCTTATGCATTCGTTTGTGTCCGCACTCTCTTATGTGATTAGGTTAGTTTGACAATGCAACAGTTGATGTCAGCAGCCACCGTAGTACATGTGGGGATGAAGAGTAGGGGGAAGAAGGAGAGGAGGAGGTGGAGGAGGAAGAAGACGGAGAGGAGGAGCAAGAAGAGGAGGAGGAGGAGAAACAGGAGGAAGAAGAGAAGGACTCGAAGGAGAAACAGGAGGAGGAGGAGGAGGAGGAGAGTAGTAGTAGGAGAAGAAAACAAAAAAAATGATGGAAAACAAAAGGTGCGCACTGACATGGCAGCCACTGTCGTTGCGGGGTGGAGGATGAAGAGTAGGGGGATGAAGAAGAGAAGGAGGTGGAGGTGGAGGTGGAGGTGGAGGTGGAAGAAGACGGAGAGAGGAGCAAGAGGAGGAGGAGGAGGAAGAAGACGATGATGAGGAGGAGAAACAGGAGGAAGAGGAGAACGAGAAGGAAGACGACAACGAAGAGGAGGAGAAGGACAATGAGGATGAAGAGTAGGGGATGAAGAAGAGGAGGAGGTGGAGGTGGAGGTGGAACTTGAAGAAGACTGAGAGAGGAGCAAGAGGAGGAGGAGGAGGAAGAAGACGATGAGGAGGAGGAGAAAGAGGAGAAAGAGGAGAACGAGAAGGACAACGACAACGAAGAGGAGGAGGAGAAGGACGATAAGGGGTCCGAGCACAAGGAAACGAAAAAAAAAAAAAAAAATTGTCGCGTTTGGCAGGCAGTCGCAGCCGATGACAACGTGTGGGAGGAGAAGGAATAGGAAGATGAGGAGAAGGAGAAAGAGGAGGAAGAGAAAGTGCAGGAAAAAACGATCCACACTGACGTGGCAGCCACAACCGATAACAACGTCTAAGAGGAGGAGGAAGAAGAAGATGGAGGAGGAGGAGGAAGAAGAGGAGGAGGAGGAGGAGGAGGAGGAAAAAGAGAAAGACGAGGAGGAGGAGGAGGAGGAAAAAGAGAAAGACGGGGAGGAGGAGGAGGAGGAGGAAAAAAAAAGGAGAAGAAGGAGGAGGAGGAGGAGGAGGAGGAGGAGGAGTAGAAGGCGGAGGAGGAGGAAGAAGATAAAGACGGGGAGGAGGAGGAGGAGGAAGAAGAGGAGAAGGAGGAGGATGACGTATGAAAACAAAAAAATGGGAAAAATAAAGGCACGCGCTGATGTGGCAGCCACGACCGATAAGGACGTGGAGGAGGAGAAGGAAGAAGACGAGGAGGAGGAGAAAAAGGAGAAAGAAGAAGAGGAGGAAGAAGAGGAGGAGGAGGAGGAGGACGCAGAGGAGGAGGAAGAAGAGGGGGAAGAGGAGAAGGAAGAAGAGGAGGAAGAAGAGGAGGAGGAGGAGGAAGATGAGGAGGAGGAGGAAGAGGATGAAGAAGATGAGGAAAGGGAGGAGGAGGGAAGAAAATTAAAAAAACATAAAAAGAAAAGAAAAAGGGCACCCGCTGACGTGTCAACCGGGGCCGATGAGGGAACCCAGGGAGGAAGAGGAGGAAGAAGAGGAGGAGGAAGGGGAGGAGGAGCACGAGGGAACTCTGGGAAGATATAGAAGAAGAAAAGGGAAAAGAAAACACGAAAAAAAAAAAAAGGCGTCCGCTCACGTGGCAGCCGCAGCGATACCGTCGTCGACCAGGAGGTGGAAGAAGAAGAGGAGGAGGAGGAAGAAGAAGACGAGGAGGAGGAGGAGGAGGAGGAGGAGGAGGAGGAAGAGGAGGAAGAAAAGGAAGAAGAGGAGAAGGAAGAAGAGGAGGAAGAGGAGGAAGCAGCAGAGGAGAGGAGGAGGAAGAGGACGATGAAAAAAATAAACGAAAAAAAAAGCAAAAAAAAAGCAAAAAAAAAGCGAAAAAAAAAGGCGCGTGCTGACTTGGCAGCCACCATCGATGAGAGGGTGGGGGATGATGAAAGGTGGGATGAGGAGGAGGAGGAGGAGGAGGAGGAGGAGATAGTCGGACTCTCTCTCTCTCTCTCTCTCTCTCTCTCTCTCTCTCTCTCTCTCTCTCTCTCTCTCTCTCTCTCTCTCTCTCTCTTGGACATGGCGAAAGCAGCTTCTCCTCCTGGATGACAAAGGAACGGCTCCCCCTCCCCGTCACGGTTCGGCTGCTTCCACTCAACCAAAGGTGGTTCCTCGACCACAACGGCGATGGCGATTCTCCACGGCGAACAACATGGGGGGCAGGGGGAGGGGCGACAACTACTCAATTTTTTGCCTATTTCGAATTCAAAATGAGTCCCCGAATGCCCCCTCTACTTTCCTGCCCCTGTTGGTACCCGACTTTGCCCC